TGCAAGTCTCAGCCGCTACAGATTTGCATCGTTAGTGCTGATTAAGGTCCATGATTTGTTGCATCTACGTCCATGAATAGTGCTGAATGTGTAGTTCCAAGCCATTCTGCATAGTCCATCACTCAAAAACAGATCCCTTGTCCATCACAGCGGGAGTCCATCGCATCAGATTTGTGGGACATGGCACCAAGCTCAGTTGTGCCCTCAGAACCCTGGGAGACATAGTGAATTCCTTACGGTCATGATCAATCAGGGGAACCGAGGTACTGGAGGTACTCATCGAACCTCTGAGCACTTGTGCACTCCTACTGTCTTTAGCCAAGCTAGTCAAGGAGGTTGGATCAGAGGTTATCCCCAGACAGAGTCATTTGGGCACGTATACACAACACATGTATGCAATGAATGAGCTGGCATACCACCCACCTGCAGACTATATGTATAATACTTATGATGTAAATATAGCTAAAAGCACAGCGCACAGTGCACAACCGGCATATGATGTTGGCTTCTGTGTGATATGGAGGGGCCCATTCTTGAGTGGTCGCGGAGAACAATAAGTGGACAGAGTTTCATGAGTTTCATGCTTCAAAGCGCGATGTTGACTGAAGCACTTGTGGGACGTCTACCTTATGGTCAAGCAGCTTAAGGCTTAAGGCCCACCACCGTGGACAAAGACTCATTCAACAGGCAAGTAGCAGAGTCTTTTGGTTTCGACAACCACCGACACAGCGTAGCCAGGGCGGTTTGAGGCCTAGACCACCCAAATGAGTAAGTCATTGAAGGACAATCCTCCCAAGGTTTCGGCCGGTGGGAACAAGCCTGTAGGTGATCCGTTATGCTGATGGGGACGAAGAGGAGAGTTCAGTGTTGGACCTCGAGGGCAGGGGCAGTGTACCTCGACAAGCTTGGACCAGCTGCGATAGACTCCAAAGGCGTGGAACGATCTCCCATCCAAAGACACGCTGTTTCAGAGACCGACTCGAAAGTCCAGCTGGTATGGTACTTGTATTGAGCTATATGACTCTTTTCTTGCCTATTTGAAGGTAAAACGATCAGTTCACCGTGTTTTCAGGTACGTAATCTCGGGAAGGGCCGGTAGGAAGTTCCAAGAAGCATACCACAACAGAAAGTAGACAGATTTTGTGGTAGGTGGTATGTGCGGAAGTGATGTGTGATGATTTGTGATCTTCTGGCCCTTCAATTGAGAAGCCTCAAACACTCGGGTAATTCTAGTCTATCCAAAGATGATCCAAAGACTCCAAGGATATGTTTTTCCTTTGAGATGTTTAAAAGGCAAGACACAAAGGATCCCAACCCAAGCTGGTGTTCCGTGAGGAGTGGCCCATCCAGGCCGACCTCCTCAGAGCCGCCAGTGCGAGACCAAGGTGGGAGCGAGCGGTTGATGGCTTTTGAGCAGTTTGGAGCTGTAGGGTCCGGTTTGCATCGGAAGGAGCCGGCCACCGGTGTTATGATGGCCTCCAACCTAGAAGCAAAAGGAATCTATTAGCAATGGCCTCCAACCTACTAGTCTACTGGCGATGGCCCAACCTAACAGCGGTGGCCTCCAAAACTTCCATATCACCTACTCGCATCATGATCTAGTACAGAGTTGCACATCATTGATGACCATGCTGGCAATGGGGATGGCAACCTATACTATTGTCCACGTGCATGACAAAGGACGCATGACATGTATGCAACGTGATGCAGGCCCAGTCTACAGCGCCCCAGCTACTTCTTCGAAGGCGTGCGTCTCAAAAACTGTGGTTATATATATATATATAGGGTCTGTGGCTCAACTAAACGGACCATTGGAGGGATAAGAGGCAGGTGTCGGTAAGAAGGGTCGTAGCATATGCTATCTAGTGCTACCTTATAGTGGTCTTGAATTACAACGCAAAGCAAAACAATATCTTAAACTCAAGCGGATCCCATGAACATCTTACGTCAAACGATGGCGTGCCCTGCAGGCCAGGCTGAAGCATCTAAGATTTGAAGCCTTTTCAAGTGAGCTGATTGAGCCACCGACCAGCTGAGCTTTCTTATGCTGAGGACCTCGACCCGTTTCGTGTGCTTGGCTGATTCCTACAGCATGCCTCACAAATTCAATCCACCAGGCGGCCTCCCACTATGGATAGGTAATGTTCTCGAAATTCCTTTCTTTGTTGGGGATGGTTGGGGGGCTTTACACCCAGAAAAACCAGCCACCATTTTTCGCCCTCATTCGGTCTTGACGTTCATTTTCTTGGAACTTCCTTTTCTGTTTGAACAGTCGGCATCACCGAGAAAACCGGGCGTCACCGGGCGTGTGTACGAAAAACAGCTCTCGGCCTCCATCCAAGCCGAGGCCTGCGAGCACAAGCATTTTGGCCCCGTGAGAGCTTCCCAAAGGCGCGGTTCTCCGCAGGACCCCCAACGGGATACTACTAGTAACAAGAAGCTACGGTTAACAAATGGATATACTCCATGGTCCCAAGCATTTGGAGATCCATGTGTTTTCAGCATAGTCATATTTGGACACTCTGTGCCACACTGTGCATGGTAAGTACTCCTAGAGATATTCTTAGGACAGCAATCGACATTGATGGTGGTTTTTGTTTTGAATGATCGGATGCTCGTCTGCAGGTTTGACACCTGAGATTGTGTAGAATGGGTTGAACAGTTCTTGCCACGTTAGTTGCATTCAGTCAGTATCCCCAAACCCAAAATATCATGGTGGATGACTTTGGGGGACTGAGTATGTAAGACTTATCACCACCACCACCACCACCACCACCACCACCACGACCAATCACACTCAGAACCGCAACCGCAATCAAACATACAATCACACATTTGCATCATTTGCCGACAGTCCATACAAGAGTTCCAGTATTTCTGATATAGACTCCCAAATAGATAGGACAGGTAGATCCCCGCTAAGTGTATTCCATTTGATATAGACTCCCCGCTAGATACCGACTCCCCACTAAAGGTAGGATAGGAAAGGACAGATAGATGGAAACCATGCCACGTCTTGTACTCTTGGCGACCACTATGCCTTCTATTCCGAGGCCGTGTCGGTCCGAAACTTCTGACAGTCTGTGTCGGTCCGTGTCCCTGTCAGGTGGTCGCGTTGCTGGAGGCAAGGACGGCTCCCTGCAGGGGTGGTGAATTTGTGTTGAGGGCAAGGAACTCTAAGTTTGTTAGGAATACTCACCTGTTTAACTCTCGGAACTACCCCATTGGAGATATGAATGATATATAATATAACTTTGTGGCGATGTTCGTCTCAAGGAGAGGCAGCTTTCAAGAATCTCTCGTACATGTGACATTCTCATTCCTGCTGGATCTGTGGAACGTGCGTGCCGTTTTGACTCTGTGCGTTCCGGGGATGGAACCGTTGGAACCGTTTACGAACCTTCCGTCGGCGATCGGACGCTTCCCCTGCCGAGTCGGGTCGGGTCGGAAGGCCTGTGCCAGTGAGCTCTCCGAAGAGGCTTGGCCCCTGCAGCTTTTGTTGTTCGGGGTCCGGGGTTGGCTTTTCAGAGGTGATCGAGGATTCCACGTGTGGCGTTTTAATTATTGATATTGCAGAGGGGTGGTTCCATGTGTTCGACCTCTCCACAACTCTGGGAAGTCATTGGCCCATGATTGATTGCAGACCTGCACGAACTGCACGATTGATTGGGCGGATGAGGAGGTTTTTCTGTAGTAACTGCAACCCAGGTTCGTGTGAAATTCTGAAACCCATCAACAGCGGACCAAACGAACATCTCATTGCACACAACCCTGGCACACCTGAAGATTGTTGCTCCGGCTCCACCTTGCCCTTTGTTGACCCCAATTCTTGGAGCAACCAACATTTCCTCTTAGGGCCTGAAACCTTGAAGAGGGCGTGGCCTGTGGGTGTTTTGATTCTGATGTGTTTTCAAACCCAAGTTCTAACCCAACCAGGAGGACCTCCTGACGACGCAGTGTTCCGATGACTGGTCGTTGGGGCTTTCAAGGTTGCCTTCCTCTCCTGACAGGTTCAATCCCTTCTGGAGGACGCGTTGTCCTCCGAGAGCGGTGAGGCCTGGTCAACATCGCGGCAGCATCGTCGTCGGCCATGGCCCGTAAAGAACTCCCGTTTTCAGAGTCTGTTTTGCCTTTCGGCAGTTGCTGCATGGCCGCCATGTTCCATGCGGGGGTCGCCTCCACGGCATCTATATCACGATCATGCTTTCCAGCATGTCCAGTGGAATGAATTTTGCTGAAGATGCTCCAGGTTGACCACCTTGCTAAATATATGAAATTTTGTGTCCTCGGCTTGGTCCCTAGCGGCCAACACCTGCAGGAGCCACCAAGGAGAGGGACGGATAGCCGGTTTTCTCGCGGTGCCAGGAGTTGCGGATGTCATACATACCTCTTCATATTCCTTGATCACAACCCCCCATGCAACAAACAACGAAATGGAAGAGCTAATTTTTGTAAATTAAAAGGACACTTGTCTTACCAAATCATCTACTAGTCTACTCAAGCAGTAACCACAAACACTCTGGTTTGGTGAAGGTTCAGTTTAGGTTAGCCATTTTGCATTGATATAGAGTCTAGAGGCGAGGTCTCAAATTGGAGATTGCGAAAGAGGGTCTATGAGAACCTTGGGGCCAAGGAGCGTTCCGATGTGCTCAATCCCAAGAGGTTTCCAAATGAATATGCCTCGTGCAGATATGATGATTCTGAGGGTAAGGTTAAGACATGTATATAGAAATGTGGAACACAGACCTGAAAGTCTCTTGCTGACGGCATTCGAGCCACATCCTTTCCATGTCATGCATCAGGGAGCATTCTCCCCAGAATCAGCGTGTCACTCGTCAAGTTCTCGTGGACATGTCGCTGCGAACAAGACATTGGCTCAGACTAGTAACACAGCGCAGCACAAAGGCTTTATTAAGGTCTGTTGCTCCATGGGTCCTGCTCCAACCGGTGTTTGACACAAATCTCAGGAATTTGTGGATGCAACCCAGGATGCAGGGGCACAGCGGCAGTGACCAAGACAAGCTGGAAAGCAAACATTTTCTAAATTTGTTTGGTGATTCTCTCAACATCCGACACTGTCAGACTGTACTGACTGGCAGGCCGCCCTGTTGTATTGAATGGCTGGTTTGTGGTGGATACTATGCATCATACACAGGCACGCTGCATGAAGGTCAGACTTTGTGTGGACATGCTGTCACCGACCTTCACCATCAACGGCTACTTGTATACGGTATACGTATATAACCAGGTCTACAGAACTTATACAACCACTTCATGAGCTACTCTGCTTTGGCCAGGTCTTTGTTCCAGCCATTGACCTAGCTGACATTCCTTTGTGGACGAGCATGAATGGCATCCTTTGTGGACTAGCCATGTCTCCCGTGGGCCTGGTTGCCTACTCCGTGGACCTTTGGAGGACACCGGGTGGACCAGTGAGACCGAGTGCCGCTCGGTGGACCAGTGGGACCGTGAAACGACGCACCGGTCGAGTCATGGGATGAATAAGGTTTGGCTACTCGGATGGATGGGAGATGTGTCCGTCAGAAGAGCCACTGAAGAGTCTCTTAGAGTCTCTTTTTGCATGGAAATGGGGCGGGGGGAAGGCTAGGAACCCAACTAAAAGCAGCAGGGGACTCCAGAGTGTTTGAGCCATTTTTGGTGCTTGCCCTGTGAGTTTACAGCAAAGTAGACTCCAGAAGGGGGGAGTGAACGACCCCAAATGTGACAGTGAGCCGGAGTGTATGAGCGTTCCACCAGCTGCACCGTTTCCCAAGGCATTGACCGCACGTCCCCAGCCTTTGCAGGCAGGAGGGGCATGGTACATTAGCCCACTGAGGAGAGAACTTCCAGGACCACTGGCCATCCAGTCAATTTTGCAACTTCCATCTTCTGACTACTTGTGTGGGACTTCAGTGTCAGGGAGTGCAGTCCGGTGTGTTTTCGTGTGTTTCAGGTGTGAACAACGAAAACATCGCGAGGGCTGTGCGACACGTCCGGCCCGGGAGGTCGCGTCGTGCCCGGCACGGCGCCGACGAATGGCCTGGCTGGCGCTTCTGGGGGTTGTACCAAAGGCCGCCGTGTCTTGTCAGTGGGAGCTGGGCCGTCGCCGTGTCTGCACCAATGTGAAAACCCACAGGAGCATCAGAGGTCTGGCCTATTCTGTTTTGAACTTGTCAATGAGTCACAATGGGTCACTGGGGCACACCCTAATTTTGGAGCCATTCTGAAGTAGAACCAGAAACACTTTATGCGCCCCACTTTTGTGGTCGTCAAACAGCAGAGCAAGCACTTTCGTAGCCGAGAGCCGAGGGCCCTCTGAGTCGATGCGGTCGCAATCCACGCCATCCAGTGGGGTTGGAAACGGATATCGTTGCCTTCAGCAGGTGGCTGTGACATGTTGGTGACTTTTGGGATTGAAGTCTTGACTTCCGAGGTGCAGTTCTCTCTGAAAATCTCTGATAGACAAAAAGACCCGGAATGCTCTTCAACTTTTGGACTTGATCTAATCAGATATCATAGATATCAATATATCAATAATGTCATATACCGTCTTTTGAAAAGGACGGTTTCCCAGGAGCGTCGTTGGATTGGACTGGATGTAATGCAAGCTTTTTGGCAGTCCCTCTCTTCGCGGTTTGATTATAGTATAATCAGATATATAATCAGCCTTCGTTTGATGCTAGAAACTGCTCCAACATGTCGGGTGCGGACCGCTGTTGAGCATCCATTTGTTCAGTGAACACACAACACAACAGCCGCCAAGGTCACGCATCGCTTTGGTCCCTAGGACTCTAAGGAACGTGCTTTTCGAGGTCGTGTGAGGATCTCAAAGAAATCATGTCACCCAATTCCTTACATGGAGCCAAAGACAAGTCCCCATGGACCAACAGAAGCCTTCTTTCGACTTTGGTCAACGCGTACATATATATATTTTGTTTTTAATAGTAAGTTTCAGCTCATTCATACAATTTTCGATGCAACCTCGAAGTTGAAAATAGACCGGCCAGCATTTTGACAGCTCAAAGACTTGTATACGTGGACTATCTTATATTAAAATTACCCTTTTGTGAATCCTGAATCCTGTTTCAAGGGTCTGAATCCTGTTTCAGTTTAGGGTTTACTAAGGTGTCCGGGTTGCCTGCCCACAGGGGAGCCTGGACATCAGGCTGGGTCCCACGCAATCCAACCCATTGCTCGCCACGCTCAGTTAGCGTCGGCCGCGCCTTCCTCACCCGCGCGGGTTCCGGCCGGCGCCGGTTCTGCAGCGATCGTCTTCCTTCATGGCAGTGGGGACTCTGGCACCGGGCTGCTGGGCTGATGGGATGACTCCCAAGCTCCCAAGACCCACATCACAAGTTGAAAAACCAGCTGTGATGACCTTCAAATTAAAATTGTCACGTGCACTTCCCACTTTAGCTACTAGAACTTTTTAGAGGTGGTGCCGACGTGGACATGACATGAATCCTCTTCGCCTCTGGGCATACCAAGCAGAGAAACTGCTCTGCTTGAGGTTCAAGCGTTACCTGGACGCGGTTGACCCTGAGTTGCTGGAAGAGTTGCAAAGCCAAGAGGTGCAGACCTTTTGGCCTGACAGTGAAGCCCAGCCGTGCCATGACAGCATATTTGTCGGAAGCGGATGTGGAAGGGAGGCCAGCTACAGTTTGCAGGTTGATATAGGTCGGGTTGATCCGTGTTCAGTTGGTTGTCCTTCCACTGAAGCTATCAGCAAGAGATCTTTGTTAACAATCATCATCCACTGAGGGGTGGCCACCGTTCAATCTGAAACTGAGGAGAGGGCAGGCCAAACCCAGGAATGAGGGGGAGAACCGTGTGGTTTTGGATCAAACAAAAGCCATCGGCACTCGAAAAAGTTCGGGTTCAATCGGGCGCTCGATCGAGCGCTGGTGGATGTTGAATCCTGTGATGAACCCACTTCTTCGTGGTGAGATGTGAGCGATCTTCGATGTTCCGAAATGACCCGAAACAGTGACGAGTTCGAAACTGGACGTTCCTGGTGCCGTGACGTTCATGGTAAGAGGTTCCCCCCACAAGACATACTGTACAAGAACAGTGGGTCAGCTCAGGACAGCGACTGGTGACCCTAGGCCCCAAGGCCGGACTTTGTTTATACAAGAAGACTTCAGAGAGGCTGGAATCAAACACAATGGTGATGAAGTGGATGACGATCCTTCGTAGGGGATCTACAATACCGGCAGGCCACCACCTGCACAGTCTGAAGGGACTATGATAGAGAATCAAAAATAGTACACTGTATTGACGTCCTATAGGATTTTTCCCCTTGCAAAGCTTAACCAAAGAAGATGTAAGGACGTCGGTTGAAACTCTCAAGTACTGCGTGCTTTTTGGGGGTATGCTGGGCGGGCCTTAGGTATACACTTGCTGGGGGCATGGTCATGCCCATTTGGTATGACACTTCGCGGCAGTTTGTGAGGTCTGTCTTTTCACTTGAACAAGGCGACCCCCTGGCAGTAGCAGACTACAGGTCTACCGTTTTTGACACCGATAATGATATTGTGTAGTCTCTACAAGTGCTTGCGCTCTCAGCCCCCATGTTGGGAATGTGTACAAGACTTCTGGCCACATCCCAAGCTGGAAGCCTTTGGGCACCTTCATACGATATATATATATAAGTTCGGAACCATCACCACTGACTGACGGACAAAGTCCTGCACCATGTATTGAGATATGGATTTTGGATTCCCCACAGACTGCTCACCTGTTCTGGCGTATCAATCGTAGCATTCTAAATTCAAGAGTAGTTGCAGTATTTGATTGGTCAAGGACATGTCGATGAACACAGTTGGCTTGGGGATGGGAACCTTTTTGGCCAATGAACGACCAAACAGCGCTGGACATACTCTTCCAAAGGAGGTTCTTTCCTCCACACTGAGCAGAACACCTCTGTTTTCCCAGAAAGCTTCCTAGAGTCAGGAAAACCAGATGGTGCAGCAGATGTTTGCCATCAACACTCAGGACCGCTCCGGGCTCCCACCCAGTGCGCCCGAGAAGACTGACTCTGTGGAGCGCTCGGTGCAGCGGTTGATGCAGCTGATTCAGGAGGCTCGGCCGGGGTGGAATCCAATGGCCAGGTTTGTCTTGCATATCGGCCAACTTTCAGGAGGTTCAAGCCCAAGCTTGTACCTATATGTAAACGAGATCGCGAGATTGCTAATTCAGTCGCTCGAGTTGGGTTCACGTTGGCAGGCCTTGGCATCCCCTGTCCTCATCCTGTTTCGAGGGTCGTCATGGGCAACTGGCTAACTGGCTTCTTTGGCCACCTCGAAGCTGAGCGATGCAATGCCAGGTAGAAGCAGCAGGTGTTCCGCCCAAGCGCATCGTGATTGGAGGAGCGGTCGACCTCAGTCTTCGGAAGAACAGCATATTTGCACACGGAACTGGTTTTAATAAGAACCACAAAAGACCTTTATCCTGTGAAATCTCTTCTCTACAGGTCCATGTTCCTATGATCGATGGAATTGAAGTCTTGTGAACCTGGTGGGATACTGTACGGCTGTACGGAGATCGTTTTGGCATCCGATCAGGGAGATTTGGACTGGCTTGTCAACCCCGCCGAAAGGGTTCCAGTTGCCTGACATGCCCTTTGAACAACAGGCGCCCTTGCTCGTATTGGCATGGATTGCAAGGGTCACGTGCAAGACCCTGTGGCATCCCCTCCTGTGGAGATCTAGAACATTCTTTTCACATGTTTTCACCATCCCGGTCACCGTAGTTTGATTCTTCTAAAAAAGCGACGATGTTTTCTTGTCGCAGCTCTCGACATGCTCGAGAGACTCGAGGATTCTCCATGGGCGGCGGCATTGCGCTGCAACTGGCGCTGCGGCACCCCGAGGCGATCGCTGGAGCCTTTGTGCCGCGCGGCAGACATGGAGGTGTGGGGGGGACAAGATGGATTCACCCTGAAAAGCCGTGAAGAGTCAAATAAAACCTCCGAAAAGAAGAATTATATTCCAGGGCCCATGTTCAGGTTCTTCTAGTTGTTTTCAGTAAACTATTCCATTTATGGATGCTATTAGGGGTCATAATGTCATAGTTTGTCTTCTGAAGGTGCTCCTCGACGTCCAAGGCTCTCGTCCTTTATGTGTGATGATGCAGCCGTCTACGAGCGTTTGCAAACGCCAGAGTTGTGTCTTGGCTCATAAAGTTCAGAGCGTTCTCAAGGCCACTTTTGGACGTGCATCTGAAACAAATAAGGTGGATAGAACGCATATTTTGTAGTTTTTTGGGGGTGGGGGGAAATCTTGTGCTTCTCAAAATCTTCCGCTGTTTAAAGCCCATCAGAAGGTGTGAGATCATTCATACTTAGACCATTTATATGGCCTTGTTGCTGTTACGATGAAGAGTTGGGTAGCTGGTGCGGGGCCATTTTGTCCATATGTCAACCTCCAGTCTGATGATGCAGTGAGCTGCAGTTTACAAAGTTTAAGTTTACAGTCACGAACAGTTACACAAGCCTGAGCGAACCGCGCAACTAGAGTGTAAAGGTGAAACATTAAAGACATATGAGAAAGAACCTTCATTCAGAAGATAGAGAAAGGCCTTTGTGTCACAACTTAAGATCAATCAAAAGAAAGATGTTGCGTCTGGCGAAAGATGTGGCCATGGAGTCTTCGAAACATGATGAGCTATATACCTTTCTGCGTCCCTCTTGTGTGAAAACACAACAGTTCCGCATCCGCTTTTGATCGAGCCGCCCACCACAGCATGGTTTCATCTCCCCTTCAAGCAAATCCAAGTTGCCAGACCAAATCAGTTGGTGTCCACCCTTTCGGAAGGGACACCGGAACTGGTCTCCGCTGAGGACCAAAGTGCCAATTCTAATGATGCACGGAGAGGCGGGTCTTCCGCGCTCGGAGTCCAACGACCGCATCCAGTAGCGAAGACCGAAATCAGATGCTATCGCGGATGGTCTTGAAGAGGCATTGCATGGTTCTTTTATGTTCTTTTAATCTGAGCCACTGTGCAAGATCTTCTCAAAGGCATCCCCTCCTTCTGTAGCTGACAAATTCATCTCTGTTGGAGGAGTCAACGTGTTTTCTGATCTCTCAAGAGTGGTCAATTTGAGGAGAACACCTTTCCGAAAAGGGATCTATATTTATATATGGGTGCTCGCTGATTATAGGCCCCCCCCCGGGGATACCATCAACACGAAAAAGTAGCAATGATCTGGAAACTATGCCCAATTCAAAAGCCATAAAACATCAGAAAGCCAACAAAAACAAACAGATCTGGAAATTGTGCTCAATCCAAAAGCCAGAAAACCTAAGAAACCAATGATTTGGAAATTATGCTCAATCCTAAAGGCAAAAAACCGAAAACTACGATGCTTTGGAAACTATGCTCAATCCTAAAGGCAGAAAACCAAAAACAACAAAATGATTTGGACACTATGTTCATCCTACAAAGGTTTGGACTAGTTTGGAAACCATATGTTTTTTGTTTGAGCCTCACATATGTTTGGACTAGTTTGGACACCATTGTTATTTGTTTGGTTTGAGCCTCACATATGTTGGGGTAGTTTCCAAATCATTGTTTTTTGTTTATTTTGGCTTGATAAGTAGTGTATAAACACAGTTTATAAACACAACACATGTTTATAAACAATGTCTTCTGATGCAGTTGCACCAATGTCATCTGCACGCAAACCTCCTCCCACGCACGCCTATGCTACGTCAATGGCATGCCGCGGGTAAAATGTATGGTCCTCCCGCATGGTGTTGGAGGAGAAAAATCGTGAAGCTTTAAGGGACTTCGTGGGGAATTTATACAAAATGGTACTCTTGTCACGGTATATTTCAAAAGCGGGTTATGAAGCGGCGCGCAAGAGAATCCCCCAAAACACCAGCTAGGCCCCAGCATGGGGCTTGTGGTGCGCTAAGTTCTTTTCCACCAGAGAGTGACAGCTATTCTTCCTTCAAGTATAGGAAGACGCGCCCGTGCGCGCTTTGGGGATTTGGCGCTGGTACCGTTGCAAGGAGCCGCTGCCAGATGTCTATGGCCAGTGTGCGCTCTGGAGCTTTGGGCGCTGATGCTTTTGCAGGGTGCTGCTGTAGGGTGCTGCGTCTACGCTGAATTCAGGGACAAAGCACCAGGGTGCTGCCCGCAAGTATCATTTGCTATGGGAGTCTATGCTAGCGTATTTGTTGGGATTCTGCTTTGGAGTATACAACAGAAGCTGTGACGTAAATAAGGCGAATAAGGCTCTATTTTGTTTGATGGGATTTATGAGAGTTTGCTTTGTCCATTTTCAAGAGCTTGGCTATTGAAGGCAAATCCTGGTACTGTAGATGTACACGGAATTGTTTGCCTCACAGTCCACGGTCCAAATGACCGAAGAGCGCCATGCTGACGCCGCATGAGCGCAAGAGGTTGAAGGATGCAGAGTGAGATGCGCACTACCAGGGAGGTTTAGGAGGTTCAGCAGCACGCGCTAGCCTCTTGCTGGGAAACGAGCAAGACCCCACACAGAAATCAAGGTATGATCATTGAGGTGTGATATGGAAAACATGAAGCGGTGTTTTGCTACTGTCAGTTTTCACTTGGCCCGCACAGCTCACATGACCTCGTTTCTGTACGTATCTCCTCTCCTAGGTGAGCTGCAGAATCCCGGCACAGCTTTGAAACAAATCAACACATTCTGTGTCCGAAGATTGCTTTTTATTGAGGAGTGGAGCGCTCATTCCTAACAAAGTTCTATCCAACAATCCCTCCATTTTCCACCACAATGATGCGCGCCCTGATGTTTGTTTGACGATAGAACTTTTAGAACAAAAAGGGCGTCATTACAAACTAAGTGGGTGCTTAAATATGCTTTGTTTTCAGATTTAAACATACTACAATACTATGTGCGGACATACACTCTTGTTAGGCTACTATACTTTTGAATCAACTATTCTTGAACTTTGGAAGCCAACTCTCATTGTTTAATACAAATATGTACAAATATTGTTCGTTCCAGTGTATATGTACTATACAAATACCGTTTTTCAGCAGTAAGTTGGCAGTTCTCTTATATGTATATAGATATGGATTGTTAAAGTCATCCTACCAGTCAACACAAAAAAGTTGTCATATATATATTTTCTTCAACAATGAAGCACAGTTTCCGGAAACACAGAAACACAAATACATTTGTCATCATTTGTCTTTATATTAGTGTGGTCGGAGTTACAAAACACAAAATAATCCCAGTGGATTCTTTGTTTTAGTTGACACACATTTAGAATAGAAAAGATGTTTTATATGTGATGACACTTTTAGCATCAATGAGTCTAGCTCAAAGTTAAAGAGACAGAACATAGAAAACGGTTTGTTGGTGTTTTTCAACAATGTAAGCATTTAAACTGTTGATATGACTTGTTGCAAATTTCAATATACATACATACATTTATTTATATCGTAAAATTGAATACCTAATGTCATTCTTGAGTCAAGGTGTGGCGTCTTAGCCAAACAGTTTGTGTTTGTTTTCTATCATCAACTTCTTAGTTTGAAACCACAGGCTTCGAAACCGTCCACCTTAAACCCTCCACCCACCTTATTATAGTTCAACACGCAAAGGCCCATAAAGTGAAAACACGGGTTTCAAAGGCATTTCTTTAGGGTTTGAGGTTTTTATTGTTAATTAAACGATTCGGTAAGGATAAGGGATCTTTATCTTAAGGTTTGCCAACGGGCTTTACCAGTATTTTTCTGCAACAACTTCTGCCAAGAAACCTTTTCACAAAAAACCAATCTAATTTCAAAGCTTGGCTTATTGTCAAGGATTCCTGGCCTTGTGACCGTTGAGGTTTCCAAATTTTCAAGTTTAGGGGCAAATTCTGCGTTGGCGCGCGGCACGCGACGTTTGCACCGCCTCACTGTGCCAGGCGGACCGCTTCATCCGCCCGCAGTGGGGCCGACAGACTGCGGAGCGCCTGAAGTCGCTGGGCGTGGCCACAGAGTTTGTGGAGATCCCTGGGCTGAGACATGAGATGAGTCGTAAGGACATGGATTTGGGCAGAGTGAGGAATGATGTGTTGAACCTACACCCTGCAAGGCCTGCAGGGTAGATGTGAAAGACAATCCTGAGACGGAAAGTATGTGATATTCCGAGTGAGGAATGGTGGAGAGGGTCTAGGAGAGAAGAACATGTCGGAGAGAGGAGTGAGTGAAAAAAAACTGGACGGAGTGTGCCTGAATGTCGCGTAGCAAGAAGACCAAGGTGTGCATGCTGGATCGGTTGATGAGTTGGATCTAGTTGGAATAAGTGGCAGGTGCAAAGACCTGGAACAGCCCAGGAGGTTGCACTCAACCGGGTGACTGGTCTATATACCGTGCTACTTAATAGGAGACCTTTGCAAACCAGACTACATCCCACTCTCGTTTTGCATTCTGCTCATACCGTCAGGAGATTCAGCTCCTGCGCAGGTGGCTGTGGCAGGTGCTGCAGCTGGATTGATTGGAGAAAAGGTGCGATAGAGGTCCTCACCAAGTTCTGATCAGGGGACCTCTTAACCAAGTAAAGAACCCAATTTCGTATTAGGGGTTGCCATTTTTCGCAGTAGAGGGCGCCCTCAGTTCGACTCAAAAGTGGCATAGACGCTGAAAAGACCTACATTTCATGAGAAGGTCGGACACTGCCTTCAGGCCTTTGGAAGCATTGGTCAAAAGAGATAGGTGGCACACCCCCCCAAAAGGGGTGGTCGAGATGGATCGTCATTTGCCAATGTTTTGGGAGGGTATGCCATATTTTTCTTTTCTCCAGAATGTCCAGTTGCCGTTTGAAGTCTGCGAACAAATTCACAGCGCACCATAGACGGCCGCAAAGCGGCCGACGTCCCTAGCCACTTCCGCTGATCAAGACCTCCGTCAGTGGCTCGAGAGCCACTCACTCCGTCTCCCGAACCTGGGCAATCCAAGCCAAGCTCTTTTCACAGCAGCCAAACCGCTCATCCACCGCATTCCTAGCATGAAGCTTGACAGGAAGGTGAGGACATTCCCAGACCACATGATGGAAGGAGGCGCAAGAGACAAGCACCCTGGATCCAGATGATCTGCCTCAGCCCGAGACAAAGCCGCCGGCGAGAGCAACCTGAAGAAGCAACCTGAAGCCACCCTTGCCCGGTGACGATGGCCAAGACATGCGGAATCAACAACGCTGCAGACGCTACAGTTACATGGACACAGCGCTAGAAGTGCGCGACCGTCGTGAAGTCCCTGAAGTGGTTTCTCAGCGCAATTGGGCTTAGAGCCCAACTAATTGGCCCAGCCTTCAGACATTCTGATTGACATTGATTTTGCTATCATCCGAAGTATGGCACCTCAATGACTTCATCCAATGAACCCACGGCTTTTTCAGCTGTGGTGATCCCTGTGGTGATTCCCCCCGACCTGACCAGACCGTCCTCCACCAGGACCAAAAGGCGTCGAGGAATAGAAGGCGCTGAGGCCGAGCAACGGGGGAACCGCTCATCGCTTTTTGGTCGGGCCAGAGGTTGATTCAGATGACCTAGGCTATTGGGTGTAGCTCGGTGTTTGAAACGATGAACAAATCACCATTCGGTGTTTCTAGGACGGAGACCTTGTAAGGAGTCTTTGATTGTAGAAGGCGGTTAGGTAGTGACCGGCACTGTAGCACGCTGCGGAAGAGAAGCTGTTTGCTTACATGAATCAAGAGACTTCAACCTATCAGCACCGGGCGGGTTTGAGTTTTTGTACACGCACATGAGTGCAAAACCTGCGTGGATCGAATGATATCGGTTTAGATTCTATGTAGAGACTGCAGGCGTTTTGCTTTGTTTGCCAATTCAGACATCATACGATCAGTAAAAAAACAATAGGTGCTTGCAATAGCGCAGACATCCTGCCCAGCTTCCTACAGACATCCTTCTTTGACAACTCAGTCTTCAAACACATCTTGCTCTGCGGACTGTTGTTCACAGTAACGGCAACCAAATGGTGATTCCTACGGGCCCTCCTCAGTGGTTCTGTGTCTCCGATTGCACGCACGGCCTCGTTTGGTGCCATGCCGAGCAAGAGCTTGGAGATGCAGGTGGGCGCGTCGCACGACCGCGCGACGCCGGTGACCCGAGCGGTCAGTTTCGGTCCGGTGACGTCGTCGGGGAGAGCATCCGCCTTTTTGGGGATTAGGCCGAGAGCGGAGGAATGGATGGAGGTTCGTCTTTGCACTGGAGGAACTTGATCGACTCTGAAAAACCTCGAAACAAATGGATTCTGAGACCTCCTTGTCCATTCGAAGAGAGATGTGAGCAAAATGCCCAGATTCTTGTTGCCACTCAACCCATTGGTTAGAGAAACCATCGAAGTCACAGGGTTCGCATTCAACATCATCCACATGGCTTTGAGAAGAGAATCCCACATCCAGTCTCCCAAAAGGCTTGTTCAGGAACTGTGACTGTCCATCGTGCATCACTGGTGAAGGATCTCCAAACTTTCGTTGTGGACCGGAGATCTCCCGCCGCGATTCTTTGAGGCAGATGATGGCTTCGGCTTCGGCAAATTGGTCTTTCCAAGAAGCCATACCGTAACCGTTGTTGCTTTCACCAGTTGAAACTGTTCTGACCTGTTCTCCAGTTTCAGCAAACAGATGGTCTACTGAGATTTGGTCGAGTCTTGGCACACCGTGCCTGCCGTCAGGTGCTCAAGCGGGGCCGCCAGAGGAAGCGCCAAGTTGACCTGGCGGAGGATGCCACCGTGCAGGACGACCATTTCAACGTGAAAAACCCGACCATCTGGGAGGCAAAGGTGTTTTGAGGTGATTTGGCGGGTGGAAGGGGCTCGCACGAGATTCTGAGCTGTGAATGGCGTGTTTTTCTTCTCGGCGCTGAGGCACAGGACATCTCCAGCTATCCGTCTTGACTTTTGACATAGGACACCAAAACCATTTCAACTCCAAGAAACTGGTGGTGGGAGGGGTCTCCCTATCACTCTGAGCAGCTCAGAGTGAAGGTCGGACGCCTCGGGTTTCACGCCGCTTCGCAGCTCGGTGGTTGGTTTCGCCGTGGCGCGGCGACCCGCGGCTCGCGGCGGTCAGGACATTCTAGCGAAGTTGGCCCAATTGCGCCTCGGAGACTGGGAGAGGACGACGAATGCGAGCGATGTGTCGGTTCGACCTCCAATGTCGGTTCGAAGGTTCGCGGTTTTTGCTGGTTTTAGTTGGTGGGAGTAGAAGGAGGTTGAGGATGAGGATGAGGAGACATTCATACCATAGATTCCATTGATCCTTGAATGTAGAGGCGTCATGGAAAGAAAATTCGACTTTATAGTGCATTAAGATCATTTTAAAGCATATTATCACAGATTCATCGTGGTTTCAGACTGGATGGCACACGCACCCCAAGATGTCTTTCTGGATGGGGGGTCCATATATAAAGCCTTGTGCTACTCTGAAACCACTCTGAGAACCACTCTGAAATGCTTTCTTCACCGCTTTCCTCCTCCGGTTTGCCGGGCGCACCGTCTCCACCGGTCTCCACCGAGGTCCGGCGCACCACGCTCCGGGCTCTTCGTGGCGGAGCACCGGAACGCCGCCAAGGTCCGGCTCTTCGCCGGCGAGGCGGGGCTGAGAGAGGACGAAGAGGAGAGGACCGGCAGATCCATTGGTTTCAGATATTGACATATATTATATTATATGTTGACCTATTGAGGACCTGTAATAATAAGTATTAGTATTTACCTATATAAAATAGTATTCTATACCATTTCAGTTGTACATTGTACTGAAGGGCTCTGTTTGTTTTCCACCCGCCCTGAAGATCCTGTAAGGGCCGACGGGCGACTGGGACCAGGACCCTCTCCCCAGCGGCCCAGCCCCAGCTGGGCTGGGTGGGTGAGGGCTCGCCACCGGTTGAAGTCGGTCCACGACGCCGGGTCCGCCATAGCTGGCGAAATGGTAAAAACCATCCAACTGAAAGGGACACCCTGGTGATGGGCTGATATTCTCTACAGGACTCGATGATTCCTAGGGGGCATCATGTAGATACAGGTGAAGGATGTATTGGTGATGTTTGATGGCCATGTTACTTGTCCAAATATATCATATTCCATTCCTCCTCAGTCCTGAAACAGGTTCCTGAACACCACCCCCAAAATCGTTCGCTTGGCAAGAGGTCTTGAACCCCTACCAACATGATAGGACTCCACTTTTGCTGTTCTCTTGAAGACAGTAGAATGTAGATGATGTCTATCTCGACTGGGTTTCGGTTCATCGGTGCAGGAACTCATGCTAAGCAAATGAGCAAGTGTATATGCATACGGTGTTGCTGTTGGTCCAAACTATACTAATGAAATCTAATGATCCTGAGAGAACCCTGTCTAGACATATCTAGAAGAAGAGCATCCGCCGGTCGGTCCGTTCGATGCACGACCGACCGAAGCGGGCCGAGCGGAGCCGAGCGCGAGCTCCGCGGAGGCGCCGGTGGGGAACTTTGAAGTGGGTGGCTTGGAGTCCGTGGAGGCCGAGATCGGTCGGGAGATCGGCCGTGAAGGCAGTGGAAGTCGTTGTGATTCACATTCGATGATTGGATGATGGTTGGAGTCGTTGCATCAAAGACATGACTGTGACATCACTGTAAAGTCTTGGCTGATTCAGCAGCAGATTTCTGAAACACAGATTTATGACATATTCTCAAAGCATAACGCATAGTAAAACAGTAGATTAATAAGAACACACAAAACATAGTCAAACGATGTCAAACGCACATAGATTTTAAGCAATAAATACATATGATAATAGGTGACAAAAGAATTAGGACAAAAAACACTAATATAGTGGGAGGGGGGGTAGAATGAGTGGTAGAATGTTATTAGCTAGAAGTCTATGGAGCTGAGCTGTTGGAAGAAACGTGGATTCCAAAAAAATCAAAATATAACATATATAACTTATAACTACCATTGTTCTCGGATTCGACGTGGCAGTCTGTGCAACAGTCGGTGGCCACGAGTCCGCACGTTTTCCACGGAGCTCCGCCGCGTACGAAAGCTCCCTCGGTCTGGGCTGGCGAACGGTGTTTGCTCCGTTTGATGGTTTAGCCATGTTTAGCCAGAACGCTTGCATGCGTTTTTTGTTTTCGGCGGGTTCGAAGCAATTTGCACTTTGCGTAAGTTCACTTTGCCTCAAAATGAATGGGAATCAGTAGGGAATGCCTGATAGTAGTGGAAGAGGAAGATTGCCAACTGGACTCCCACATCTCACTCTTAGCTCCCGACATCCTGTCGAACCCCGGCCACGAATTGCCACCGACCGAACGCCAACCGCAGGAATTGCCGGAGGTGATCCACGTTCAGCCGCTGGGCGCTGGGCGCTAGACCGTCCGCCGGTGAAGACCATCACATGCCCCCCAAAAGGTCTGGAGCGCTGAGGAGCTGGCTTACCCCATGGCACTGCGAAGGATCTGTCACTTCGTATTCGGGGTTGTGAGAGGTCAAACACTAGCTGCTTGGAAACGCGATATCGAATGTCCCCCCCCCTTCTTTGGGGTTAGCAATCAGTGGGACACGACCTTGTTCACACGTGACCTTTCAACTCTCTTGCCTAAAGATTGTTTTTCTTTGATTCTAAAATAATATCCATCGTTTTGGTCGCACCTGTGCCAGTTTTGCAAGAATCCTCCAGCAGAGATTTCTGGTTTAACTTATGTTTGCATGTTTGACCCATGGATCGAGCGAGGCGGCAGAAGGTGAGCATGCAAGAGAGTGAAGCTTTGGAGCTGCTTGGTGAAGTATGGTCAGGCCGACATTTAGAAGTTTAGATGGAAGAGTTGGTCTTCACTTCCAGTGAAATCATGGAATTTCATTACTGGTGTTTTGGGGCACATCAGCACGTCCAAGGAGCTGCAGGATTTCTTACTGCAAAAAGTCATCCAAGTTTTGTCCTACTGGTTGATTCTCGGGGTCACCAGGGCTTCTGCAGACTGGTCAAATACTTAAAGAACTGCACCTGGCTTTTCGGGAGAGCCAGAGCGATGCTTTGGCGCCTTGGACAGGGAGAGATGCCCCGGTCGCTCCGTGCAGGAGTCTTCTTAATTTCCGTGGCGACACAGTTTTGACCACCATCTACTACCATCGAAATGGTCGTCGATGCGGTGGGGTTCCAAGAAGCGAAACAGCAAGCAGCTGGTTGGTTCAGCTGTGAGGCTGTTGGACGAACTGCTGGCCCTTTATAACCAGGTGGGTCACGTGCGCGTGAGTTGCTTGGAGCGTAGCGGCGTAGCCTAGCTGCGTGGGGCTGCTAGCTGTATGGTATGGTAGATGCAGGAGAGATGACGGAGACATTGTCAACAGTTGAATTCCATATATATAGTGATATGATATTCAGATGATTTCATCTCTGACATCAGATATATTTGGTGACTGGTGCAAACAGCAAAGCATCAGCATAATTACTATCGATCATGACCTCCTACAATGGACAACATTCACTAACTACTTGGGACGATGGGTCCCGCGTGTTCTTGTGGGTTCAAGTTGGTGCACGATCTCTTCACCAACAGTACGGCTCTACGGAGCAAAGGGCCTTTACCACCAGACGCCGCTACGGTAGAGGGTCACGGTCCAAGATATCGATAGAAACCTTGGCACGGAGAGTGGCCGCCCTTTAAATAGGAGTCAAGCAATCCAAAGAGTCGAGTTGTGATAGGAAGGGAGCTGAGACTTTCCACCTCCTTCACCTGGTAGCTAGTGCACTAATGGACCCTTGTGTTAATGCCTTGGGGCACGCTTCTGCAAAAACATGCAGTAACCATTCATGCATTTTCCTGGTTTTTGTGTGGTTTGGGAACCAGTGTCGATCAATGCAGACCCAAACAAGTTCCACCTTTTTATATAATGCATGAGTTTTGAATGAGATTGAAGCATAAGTTTTGACATCAACGCTTCACGAATCATGGCAGACCAGACAAAAGTTATATACATTTATTGTTTTCATACACAATCATGACATTCACTCACAGCCGGCTGAGGAGGTTTGCCAAGGCTTGATCTAAGTAGCTTTGGAAATGACAATATATATATATATATAATGTACAATCATCCTGGAGTACATAGAATGGACAAATTTTTCAAAAAAACAATTCACTCCTCAAAACCGGCCCTTCCAAACCCCATACAGTATATAGATAGAATATGGTTGTATGGGCTTCTCTTCCTTTTCCTTTGTTGTCCTTTTCCTTCTCTGTTCGTTCTATTTTCTGTTCGTTCTTAAGAAAAGTCAAGGAAAGCTTAGATAATACACATAGGAACAGAACATGAAAATAACAAAGGAGCAAATACTGGAATGGGAGGAGTTGATAAGAATCTTATCACTACATTCTATCTATAGGGTCAGTCTTCATACAATGAAAGGGATGTCAAAAACCCTGAGTTTTTTCAAACAGAAAAACACCCCCTACGAAAGTAGATTCTATCTACTCCAGGATGATTATATATGTTTAGGTGATCGACAGAATCACCGCTCGAAGTCTTAAAGCCACACACCCTCAGGATTTAATGTTCTCAACCAACAAGGGAGATTGATCACGGTTAATAGCTAAGCGTGTCCAACGATTTGCATGCCAAGAGCCAAGATCCGTTTGTACTTCACCTTGCATTGTTTGCTGCTGCAGGGTACACCTGTTTGACGTGCCTGACTGGAAGTCTGAACTGGATACGCTGTATTTCAACCAACCTTTGGTCCGCCGAAACCATAGCAGCCCTGGGAGGGGTCGGGCATGTACATGTTTTTCCTCGACCAAGTGACCAAGTGCTTACAATGCGAGGGAGAGCTAAGCATTGTGTGTTCGTTTACGCCATCTGGCGAGTGGCCGGTCACGAAACCCGTTTGGTTCCGTGCTTCAACGATGGGTTGCTTCAAGGCGGACATCCAACAGAAAGTGAAGGAACTTCAACAGCTCCTCGGCATTGACCGATGGGGCATGTCCAACAGCTTCAATTCACTTCAACATGACCACAGACCAGCAGATGGGACTTGGACAGTTTTTTCAACGTCATCGTTTTTTTTTCAGTACACTGCGCACCCTTTGAGGCACCTTGCCATCATAACTGACAACCAACATCAACCAAATCAACCAACAACTTGTGTGTTTCTTTAGTCAGTTTATCGTTGGCTTCCTGTTGATGATTTAACAGGCCATAACGGAGAGAAGTTGCTTGGCTTGCCTGCACTTCCCGTGGATGAAGCAGGGCCCAAATTGTGCAGTTTGAATCGCCCAGTGATCCAGCGTCGAAAGACCAGGAACATCCAGGAACCCTCCAGGATGGAAGAGAGATACAGCGGGACAAAGTGAAGAATGGGTCCAGTCCGGTGCAGTGATTCCAGTCAGCTTTGCCTTCGCTCCCCGCCACGATCGCTACCAGACGAGGCTCTTTCTGACCGAAAACCGCGATCGGCGCCACTATGGTTTGCGGGTGGCCGCCCAGCATGAGATTACGTGGAAGGTACAAACACTTGCACAAAGCGCTTGATGCATTTTCCATCTCAAGGCTTTTGCTCCAGATTGGATTTAATCATTGTCATCATCGTCATCATCTAGTACTACTACTACTGCTGCTGCTGCTGCTCCTACTACTACTATTACTACTATTACTACTACTACTACTACTAATACTACTACTACTACTACTACTACTACTACTACCTACTACCTACTACCTACTACCTACTACCTACTACCTACT